CACATGGCTACCACAGGAGATTCAAGGATTTTTCACACATGCATGAATGAGTCAAGGCAACACTCTGAATATGTTTTTTGATAGGGGAAAGACATGATCTTAAGCTAAAAAATTGATTTTTTTCAAAGTCTTTCCCCCCTTAAAATAATGAAACCAAAAATCTTTCCTACTATTAGATGTTTTTGGCATGTCCCTGTGGTAATAGCCAAAGATGATTATCATACAAAATGTTTAGAGTTAGCCTGGCCAGAAGCTGCAGTATTTGGTCCTCATACTCTAAGTGTGATGTCTTCCTGTTTGTGACTCCATTCTTTTCACAGCTGTGTTTACTGAACACTGGACCTACAGCACATTTGACATCTTCTTGTCGTGCCTCTGTTTCTTTAGTGGTCATCTATACTACTTGACCCCCAGGAAAGTGCTCTTGTGTTGTGCCCTTCTCTTTTTATTACTTCCCTAATTAATTGTTTGTAGTTTTTTCTAATAGAGTTTCAAGCTGCTGTTCCAGAGTCTGGTAATTGTCACTGCAAACTCCTGATCCCTTTGTGCTGTAATTTAGCCCTTGGCCTCTCTAAGATAATCTGCCGTGAAGATCTCATTGCTCTTTTAAGGTTAATAAAGTCAAGAAATTTAGTTACACAATTGGTTGATAAAACATTTCAATTTCCAAAAGTAAGTTAAAAAAGTCAAATTAATACAAATTAAAAACAGGCAGTGTAAATCTGCTAAAACATGAGTGATGTGGTCATATTGTATCTGTCAAAGAGATATGACTTTTTTATGTCTCCGCTCGAGGAGGCATACTGTTCTCTGGTTGTCCGTCTGTGCGTTACCGCATGAGAAATTCTGTCCGCCACACTGTCTTGTGTGCACTGTATCTCCTGAATAGAGCTGTTAGTTTCAGTCAAAATGAACATAATTGCCATAACCACCTGGGCCCCAAATTTTATTGTACATCTTAGACATTCACTCATAACATTTTCATGAAATTCACATATAGGAACTTAAGGTGGGCACTCATGGCTTTAGGTGGCCGGATGACACCACTCTCGCCTCCTGTGCCTGTGCCCACCCCCCAAGGTTTGCATATAGACACTTAGGGTTTTGGGTTAGAGTAGAGGTGGAGGGGAAACTGGCACCACGCCGGCCTCTGCCTCTTCTTCTTTCCTTTTTTAATTGCTCTAAAGAACAACACACACCAACAGTACATCTGGGGGTGGGGGTGTGTGTGTCAGGGTCTTTACTCCCATCCTGTTCCCCGACTGCCATTTGGGGAGGGGGTCCTGAAGAAGGGCGGGCCGCTGGGTGCGGTCCTGGGATGTGGGAGGGCTCGGGGCTTGGACGGTTGCCGGGGGCGGGGCTGGCTCTCCATCCTCCCTGGTGCTGCTTGGTCTCCTGAGGTGTGGCTCTTGGTTCCTGTGGGTGGCCCCCTGGCCGGGGTGGCTGCCGGGTTCCGGGGGTTGGTCGGCTGGTGGGGTGCACTTGGCCGTTGGCAGTGTGGTGGGGTGGTCATGTGGTCATGGGCGTGGCTTCTCTGCGGCGGGGGGCTGGCCGGGTGTCCTGGTGCGGCCCGGGCCGGGCCTTGGCTATCTGCTCCTCTCCACCTCAGAATGATTGGGACTACCTCCTGGGTTTGGGTGTGTGGTGCCTCCAATAGGGGGTGGGTGCATATCCTGGACCTGGGGGTATAAAGTGTGTATCGGGGGCATGAGTGGAATGTGGCGTCCTTGTATGTCTTTGATTGAGTGGGGGTGAGGATGAGGGTGGGATGGTGCGGTTGTGTATGTGTATGTTTGGGTATTTGTCAGGCTGCGGTCTGGGCTGCCCCTCCTGCTGGTTTATCTGGGGGCCCGCTGCTACTCTGCTCCCCAGTGGGATGTGCGGCTGGCCGCCGGCGTGCTGGGGGCTCCCGGGGTCTGGGGCTGGGTGCTGGGGTTTGTGCCAGCCTGGCCTGGTGACTGCCTGTTGGGGCTCGGGGCCTCTGGACCTGTCGGGCTTTGGCCTGGAGGGGGTGCGCCCTGGGGGCCCGGACCTCTGTGCCCTTTCCTGGATCTGCTTTGGTGTGGCGGGTGCCGGTGGGGCCCATGAGTTTGTCACTGCTGGCCCTGGGGGTTGTGTGTGTGGTCGCTGGGGGGGACTCTCCCAGTTCTCCCCTATGGTCTGATCTGGGGGGTGGGTGGGCAGATCTTCACATGCGGGTGCCCCTTGTGGCTCTGCGCTCAGGATCTCTCTCGGGTCCTTGGGCTCTGGTCTTCCCTATGTCTGCCTCATGTCTTGGGGGTTGGGTCTCAGATCCTCCACAGTCACTATTAAATATTCCATTGGAGAAATCTTGTACAAACACGCATGTTCACAACCGCTCACAAACACGTGTTCTGATCCAGGGGTTCTGACTGGACACTGAGTGTGTATATATGTCTGTGTGTATACGTTGACAATATTTATGAATGCAGGCATGTATGTATGTATATCTTTATATATGTATGGGTATGTGTGTATTTTTATATATGCCCTCCATGTATTTATCCATGTATTTTTCAGGTGAGCGGACAGATGTTGGGTGTGTGGTCCTGTGTTTTCTTGGTGTATATTTCATATACTTCTATTCGCTATTTCAATCTTTCTTATTACTCCTCTCTCTGTTTTTCTCTCTTTCTCTATTTTCTCTTCACTTTAAAAAAATGAACATTATTGTTCCTGGCCCAACGGAGGTCTGAAAACATTTTGGGGTCAAAGGTCAAAGCTGACGGTCAGGTAAAGTGATCTTACTTCTTTTGAATGGTACACATAAGTGGTTGGTCACTGGAATTAATGATATGGTAAATATCWAAGAGGAACTCAYGTTTAGACATTGTTGATAYAGTTACATACTTCTTAGAATATTTAAGTCCAAAAGAGGTCAACAGGTAACTGCATGCCCAGTGCTTTAAAWGCAGACGAGTCAGGCAGAGGCATACCAGTCAATGCTTTGGCATTGAGTTGTAACCTTATTACTTATTACAGGTTTTCTGCCTTGTTTTTTGTAGCCCTTTGAGATCACAACATGGWAAGGGCACTACAAATAAAATGTATTATTATTTTCAATCAGTGACAAACATTTCTGAATTAACAGTGACATCTTGTAGATAGAATCTGCAGTTGGGCAGAAACATSAAATTTAAAAGGTATTTATTTTTTGGATGTACAGTTTTTGGAAATGTTACACTTTCTGATTATTAATCTCAAAAAGCAGCAYGTATAAAGAAAACAGAATAGGACCCAAAGTGGACCCTTGAGGTACWTCATAGCAAATAGGTTTAGAGGAAAAGGGGGCATTAACCCATAAGTATTGAAAAAGATCTGGAAGACAAATAAGATTTAAACCACAATAAAACTGAACCTTAAAGAGCAACAACAAACTGAATCTCTGTCTGTTTGCAAACTGCAATCAATCTAGTTTGCTGCAAACATCAGCTTTCAACACAAACACCACACTGTCTGATCCATCATTGCTTTCAGTGAATGTTTAGAGCAACTATCCCTAACACAGATAMGATTTCACCCTTTTCAATGACTTKGGCATTTTTGTGATACTGAAGGATTTTGATGACAAGATCAATACTGGATTGTTTCACTGAACAATGAAAGTGTGAAAAACTAATTACGAAGAGCAAAGTCTGAATAGACAGCAGTTACTTCAAACCAGGAGCAAGCAGCATTGATTTTTAAGGCTACACATCCTGACCCAGTTCAGCGAGAAAGCATCAAAAATAATAAAAACATTTTGAAATGCAAATAAAGGATTGTAMAGAATGATTATTCACCCAAAACCACTGTTCACAGAAAAATCCACATTTTCATTCAAATACTAACTCTGAAAAACAAAGCAGTTAGTAGTTTTCTTTTCCCTCTCAAACAATCTGGTTACAAAAATATCATCATTTAAATGTTGATGTCAAAACCACTGAAAATGTGTTTATTCCAAAAACAGGWATGCAGGTAGACAGGCAAGGCATTAGAGAGTGAGAGAGTAGGCAGACAGAAAATGATAGTCCAACCTTGACTTACAGAAAAAAATGTGGTCCAGAGCAAAGATGACATCATGCAGAACCAGAAACAACAAGGCAGCAGAACAACGTATCAGGACCAGAAGGACCATGGATTCACCTGAGGACCAACACAGAGGTATGTATCTCTCATTTTTTCATTATGTAAAAGAAATCCATGCTCATACCAGTAAAACACAAGTTCAATCCTCAATATGAAAGACAAACAGGCCACTGCTGAATAATGGATCAGGGCTGCCTTATAAACCCTGGTGGCAATTACCACAAGCACTTACCTGYCTGTGAATAAAAAGCAGAGCTTATGAACAGGAAATACCAAAATATAAGTAAAAAACCAAACCATGTGATTTCTGTTTGTGCTGCACAGACAACAGCTGCACTGCTGAATAGCAAACACATGTTGAAATGACTACACTAAAGACATGCCAAAAATCTTACAACCATCTCTGATCTCCCCAACTATGTAAAAACATTATGTGATTTAAAAAGACATGATAAAAGATGACTTGAAGCTAAAAATTAATAATTTCTCTGAGATCTCATAAAGCTAAACTGAGTTTACTTGTAGTTGATTCATTAACATGCACTTGTCTGTGTGTTTTAACTGTAACTTTGTAACTGTTTTGCTGCTGCTTACATATCTCCCTTGAAAAACAGATTATTAATCTCAATGGGATCTTTTTAATTAATTCATAATACATATGCAAACGCACCCACACACCAAAACAAGACTGCCATTGCAGGCTTGCAGTGAGTGATAAATATCCAGACGAGCCAAATTAAGCGTACACTTKGAGTAAAACAGAACAGATGTTCTCCTGCCAGAAATTCCAAGAAAAGAAGGAGTGTCAGGAGGTTATGGGATCTGTGCAGGGAGGGGTGGGAAAACTGAGTGGTTTTAGGGGTGTGACTGTTTTTTCTGCACCCCCCTTCTTCTTGGTCCTTCCTGCTCAGAGTCCAGTCCTCTCCTCTCTGCCTGTGCACAATGGTGGAGAAAATGAACTCTCTGCTAAAATGGGCGCTTATCCTGTTTGTTCTTGGTTCAGTCATTCTCAACATCATCCTGATCGGGGTCCACTCCAGCAGGAGGCCCAAATGTTCCGTCCAGCATGCCTACCCATTGCGGGCCAAGCACAACGATCAGAGCCTCATATTTGCGGATCTCACCCGGGATGAGTACGTGCAGGTCCAGCAGTACATGCTGAAGCTGAAGGACTTGAACATCTCCAGTAAGCAGACCACCAAACCTTCAGGTAACTTCTTGTTCCTCATAGATCTGTCTTTACCAAAGAAATCAGATGCCTTGAATTACTTGGACAAAAAAGGTCCAAAACCAGTCAGGAAAGCCACAGTGGTGGCCTTTCTTGGGACCAAAGGCCACATTAAAGAGTATGAAGTGTGGCCCCTTCCAAACCCAACATTCCACAGAGATGTGACCCAGGAGAGGTATGGGATGGAGCTGCCTCTCAGTAAGCGCCTGGTCACCATTGGGGAGTACACCCTGATGTTCAAGTTTTTTGAGGATGAAGTCTTCTCTAAGCTGAGTAAGCTCCTGAAGGAGAGCTTCGACGTGGACCAGAACAAACAACTGAACGCGTTTGAACAAATGCCACGCGGAGTACGGTCTGGGGACAGGAAGACCTGGGTGTCATTTTTCAGGGACATGAGTGGGATGTACATTCACCCAGTGGGGTTCGAAGTTCTGCTGAACCATGAAAACCTTAATGCATCCCTTTGGAGAGTGGAGCGGCTGATGTATAACGGGAAGTACTTCAACAGCGTGGAGCAACTCAGACAGGACTACGAGAGTGGGAAAGTCGAGAAGATAATTTACAAAAAGTCTGAGGACTATGGCTCCCTGAAACCCAGGACCAAGACCCTGCAGATGGGGCCACAGCAGTTTTATGCAGAGGGGAAGCGTTTCAGCGTTCAGAACAACCAGGTTCTATACCTGAACTGGAGCTTCGCCTACGGGCTCAGCTCGCTCACTGGGATGCGTGTGTTTGATGTGCGCTTTCACGGAGAACGGGTGGCCTATGAGATCAGCGTGCAGGAGGCCATGTCAGTGTATGGTTCCATCACACCGGGGATGATTCTTACAAAATTTCTGGACTCAAGTATTGGAATCGGGCGCTTCGCACATGAACTCGTCCGTGGCATAGACTGCCCCTACGAGGCCACCTATGTAGACACATACCGCTATATAGACGTGCCAGTACCAGTCCGGTTCCGGAACTCCATTTGCATATTTGAGCATAACATGGGTCAGCCCCTGCGGAGACACTTTGCTGACTTTTTCCACCACAGCTTTGGAGGGATGGTGAACAGTGCACTGGTGTTCAGAACCATCACRGCTATAGGGAACTATGACTACATGTGGGACTTCATCTTTTATCAGAGTGGCTCTGTAGAGGCTAAGGTGCATGCCACAGGCTACATCTCCTCATCATATTTGGTGGATGGAAGTCTGAAGTACGGACATCAGGTGGCAGACAAAGTCCTGGGCAACATACACACTCACTTCATCAACTTCAAGGTAGACCTGGATGTGGCCGGTAAGAAGATTTACATCATCTGCCTGTCTCTCTGTCTTGTCTCTCTGTCCTGTCYCTCTGGCTTGCTGTTTGTCTGTCAGTCTAACATGATTCTGGTGTGTGTTTGGCTTGTGTGTGTATACTTTGTGTGTATGAGAAAAAATGTAATTCATCTTGCATGTCCCATGTACACACAAGTTAACCCTAAAAATCACCACAGCTGTCTGCACGAACATTGATAATACCAGGACTACAAAATGGCACCCTTTTGAAAATACCAACATCTAAAAAAATAAATACTGTAAATATAAATCACCCATTCATTGTCAAGCTATAGGAGTTTTATCACTGTAAGTTTCAATCAGTGAAAAATCACATTGTGATGATGATGTTTGAAAATTACCATTTCTGAACTTTCCTGTGACTAAAAGGCGTGAAGTTATAATAATACCCAGGGGCGGAGCCAGATTTTTTTGCAAGGGAATGCACATGGGTGGCAAGGATG